ATTCAACTTTTTCTTTCCAGTTTTGAAGACTAGTATTTTTCAGAGGGCAGCCCAGATACTGGAATCTAGAAATAAGATCATCTTTAAATACTATTTGGGAAAGACAGAGAAATGGGGAAGGGATTTACTCTTTGAATTGTGTAGTTTGACTAGCAAAGTAAGAATAGAAATAATAGTGATAATTTCTAAAGCATATCTTACAGTTTTCCCTTTGTGATATGCAGTAAAACAGGATAATTCCTGAAGTCATGATTACGAAGTCATCCATTACTTTGAAAAAGAAGTCGAATTGAACTTTAGTTTGGTAGTAGGGGTAGGGCAGGTAGTGTTTTCTGTAGTTACATGGCACCATAGGCAGGAACAATAGCTAACAATAAAATGCCATCTTATGGAAAACTAGACCAGTGAGTTTACAGAAACTTCATCTATTTCTTCTTACAAAAATGTTCTCAGATATGAGGGGAAGATCTCTATGGGGAAAACAGCCTGTGAAGCATGAGAAATCCGAAAAGAACTCCGTCTGCCTTTTTTGTCTTGTTCTGATGCTCATCTCTCTCTCCCCAGTCCTCAGTGCAAATTCTCACTTCTTTTACATGGAAACCATTTACTTTGAGACATCCAAATCTGAGGGAAAGGGAATGAGAGAGGGGCCAAAGGCTGCAGTTTTGTTTGGGCTGAGCTCTGTGCTCAGGTTTCCTGCCTTCCATTGCTTCAACTTCCTCTATTCATTGGTGAGCCAAACACAAACAACTTGATGCCAGGCATGTGTACACCTTCTTGGTTTGCATCTTCTGCTCATACCACTACCATATGACCTCAATACAGGGTTATGCCCTGTGCTTTCCATATCCTAACCTGTTAGAAATATTTGAGATCTTTTTACATATAAACTTCACCCTATACTTAAGTGTTTCTGAGCACATAGGGCAGGTAACAGATACTTAACATTCAGATACTAGATAGTTTGGCAGGAATATCTGTTTGATGCATGAAGGCCTTGGGTAGAGAATGATATCAAAGTGTATTCTACTGGAAAGATAAGACATTTTTCAATGTGCCAACTGCCTACTTAGAATTTCAGTAACATTAATTTGTAGGGCTTGTGATACTACTTTGTGACAATAATAACTGCTCTTACAGAATACCCTTGAAGAGATTGAAGAGCCTAAATGATATTTTGAGGATCTGAGTGTGTACATATTATGAATTTAGGTTTTATATGATAAGTTGAATCAAGTGTTTATGCCTTGTATCTGTCTTCTGCTACAAGCTCGTATCATATTACTTACTCTGGAGTCTAATGAGTGTATAGAGAGGTTATGAACAGCCAGCAGTAACTGAACAATGTCACAGAAAAAAAGAAAACTGACCCAGTATACGTGTGCTTCTGCAGACATACTAGAAGTCTAGAAAATAAGGTGGGAAACTAGAATGACAAGTGTTGAATAAGAGAGAAGATTGTGCAAGAGAAATAAAACTGAATATTAAATATAATTTAAAGTAATGTAAAGTAGAATAAATGTTTTTTGGCTTCAAATGCCAAAAGCTTGCTTCCCTACTAGGAAGAAAAGGAATGGTAGGATATGAATAGGATCAGCAACTACTCACCATCATTATTAGAGTACTTTCTTTAATTCCAGAGAGGTTGCTTTTATAAAGAGTTAAACTCATTTAAATGAGAATAGCATTATGGAATTGCTGAGAGAACAGTAACTGAGAAAGTAATACTGTAGATGTGCTAAAGCCGGGAAAAAATTCATGATACTAAGAGATCTACTGAAGGCATGTTATTTTGTGCTATATTGCTATATCCCCAAACTTCCACTTTAACCATCTGCAGAGAATTTTTAGGCCTACGCACAGTATAATGAGGCAATCTTGGGATTCAAAATTAATTGCTGGCGTACCTGAACCACCTCCTTTGCATGCTAAGAACTCATAGAAAGGGACAGTGGGTCTTCAATGGCCAGTCAGAAGGCTTACATTCTGCCTAAGTTACTGTCTTTAATATGTCCAAGAACTGTACAGCAGTCAGTGATCACAGGTGGAGTTTAGGATGATGGATGGACCCTTCAGGATCATGCACTGGTCAGTGGCAGGGGCGTATTGGCTCCAGAACTATCCCCTATTCATTTACCTGTAACTGTGGAACTATGCAGCACGATCTAAAGAAAAATGAAAGAATGACTGCCTATGAAGGAGTCCAGTGTAAAATCTGTGCTGCTTCTGATGCCTAAGCTGACTCTGTTAAAGCTACCTGTGGCATCTCTCCAGTAGACTGCAAACAGCCTGTTGGAAAAGAAGCAGTGGGGGAAATACTGGGAAGGAGTGGTCAGAAGTGTGAATAAACTCACATAAATTTGAGACTGTATTCAGACAGGGTGGTCATACAGCAGTCTTGCATACTTGCTGTAAGTCTTGCATACTTTCATCCTCAGCTCCAGATGCAGCACACCCCACTGCAGGAACTGCCTGCTCCACAGAACTCCCTGTCAGTCCAGTAATCTCACAGTGCACACAATTTAGAATGGCCTACAGAATCAGACGTGAAAGGAAACACATACTACCTGTGACCTCTGCTCAGTGGTGTCTAGATTCACAGCAACTCATTCATACTCTGTGAACATTTAGATGTTTGAAAATGATCAGTGGAGCATACCACAACATACTTTTTAGTGAGCTGCAACCCATGACCTTTCAGTGTTTTGGGATGGTTACAATTTCTAATGAAAAATCATCTGATATGATCCCATCAATTCAGTTCCCTTGGTAGCTTTATCCTACTTTGTAGCTTTGTTGTTTTTTTTTTAAATTTTTGAATTAAAAGAACGTGTAAGGATGAGTTTACTGGGTTAAAACTAATGAAGAGTGTCCAGTGAAGCACTGGCCGAACTTTTACAGAATGCAAGTGGGAACCAAAGTTTTCAAAAATATCCATCCAGCATATCTGTGTCCTGGGATACGACAGTCTGTACATCCAAGGACATTCCTTGGGATTCTCTTTGACCCTTAGTTTTCCTCTTGACTCTGCAGAATTGTTCTGCAGAGGTAGCCAGGAAATTATTAAAGGTACTGAATGCATCAGGTGTTATTTGGTATAAAAGGAAAAGGAATCACAGTGTGAACAGGGAAGGAAGGATAAACTGCTCTTGTGTTTGTTTTACATGACACACTTCTGAGTATCAGCATCTCCCATTGCTAAACCAAGGAAAACATTTTCTAATATCTTTGTATATGACCATTGCATTTCAGTCAGTGTGCAGCAGAGCTAATTTCACTCACTCTGGAAATGCGCTATTTGGATTCCTGAGGAACTATATTCACCTTCTTTTCCGGGATCTTATCATAAATTTAGAAACTTTCAGAGTAGTAAGTACTATATATCTGTGGATAATTTTGTCAGAAAATATGAAAAAAGCATTACTCAGAGCATCTGAGTAACTGCTCAACTAATGACTTGATCAGCTACAACAATAGCTGCTAAATACCCAACACCAACTAAAGCCCTTTTATCTTTCTGAAAACCACAAGCTAGATGAGAATCTTAGGCTAAACCCAAACAGAAAATGAAAGAAATCTTTGCCTGGTCGAAGATAGTATCACTGGCATTACACTACCTGCTCCATTATTAATGAGAATTAACATGGGAAGAAGATACACCACTGTCGGGAGGAAAGTGTACTGATTTCCATGTGTCTTCACCCATCCTCAGAGCAAAGAGGTAGAAGAGTTGCCAAGAATCTCATTTTCTCTTTCATTTCTAGCTTTATGGAACAGTAACGCATCTGGCTGAGAATGCCACCAAAAATTTGCAGTTACTAGGGCAAATGAAAAAGCCCTATTAATTTATAAACTCGTTCACAAACACAGACAAAAGATACAACAACATTTCCCAATCTTTGCACCTGGAAATGAGAAATAATATTTCAGAAGGTGGATTGAACCTTATGAAATCTTAACTACCATCACTTGGACGTGCTGCAGTTGTGCCAAGTCAATTCAGAAAAGATGTATAATGGGATTTGAATATGTAGAAATGAGTTTTATAAGTAAATTCAGTGCATTGCTAAAAGGAATAAGAGATGTGAAGTACAAATTGATCTGTTTTTCTAAAGGAAAATTCAGTAAGTTACCTCTCCAGTGCAGCAAATGTGAAAACAATAATAAAGAAGGAAACATTTCCCAGGGGAGACTCACAGCACCTTTTGTGAAAGACAGTCCATCAATGCATCTGTGTTGAAAATCAGGCAACTACATTTCCCCTTTACTCTGTGGACACTACAGTTGTCTTACTCCATTATTGTCAAGAGTATAAAGGTAAAGTTTTTCCCTGTCCTGTTTTCTTTGACAGTCACAAAGCCTTGTTTATCAGGAAAAAATTGAGCACTTTGAAATCATGTTCTTATCAGTCCTCTGCATATGCACAGATGGCAATGTAAATAGTCTCATTAATTAAAACTGGGAGAAACGAAGCAGCTCAGAGCTGTCTGTGAGAAAAGCTATTAAAAACAGTCTGAAGTGATTTTTGAAGAGGAGGCAAATGCCTCTGCCAGCTGTAGAAATAGAGAGGAGGGAAATTTGAAATCCTCTCCCTTAACACACAATCTCTACAACTCCTAATCAGTATGAGTTAGATGACATTGACTGAGGGACAGATACTGTTTTCACAGCTGGAGAAGCAAAACCCCAAGCAATGAGTGCTGTTACAGAATTAGTATTGAAAGACAGAGCACAGAGAGCAGCTGAAGTCAAACAGAGAGCTGAAATGTTTGTTATAAAAGACAGCAGGAAAGTAAAAACAATAAAAGGCTGAAGGACAGAGACCAAAGACAGGAATTAAAACAGTGAGGGAGAGATCTTAAAGAACTACAGAGAAGCACAATAGATGACCTATTCAGGTCTCTGCCTCTCATCATAATGATTGTTATCTCCGTATTTTTATTTTGGCAGATAACCTGATCTTAATCCCTCACCCCTAAACTTTTCTTCTCTTTTCTCACCTGTCCACAGCTATTGCTGTCATGGAGTAGATGCTGGCGAAGACAGCTGTGATTGGGAAGAAGTTGTGGAAGCGGCAGTAAGCCTCTCCGAAGTACCACTCACTGTGCAGCGCATAGATGAAGTTGATGAGGGTATTGAAAGCAGCCATGGAGGCATCAGAGAAGGCCAGATTCACCAGGAAGTAGTTTGTCACTGTCCTCATGCGCTTGTGAGCCAGGATAATCCAGATGACAATGAGATTTCCGAAAACAGCCACTGCCACCACACCACCATAAGCCAGAGACCACAGGGCAATGCGCCAAGAGGGTTGTACAAACTGATTGGAGAAGTTGCTTGGTGAGGATGCTATGGGGGGAGAAGCATTTCCAGCTGGTGCTCCCAGTGCCTGTCCCCAGGCATCACTTGCTGCAGCAAGGCTCACGTTCCCCCTGCTGCTCATGCTCATGTTCCAGTTGGCTGTGGGGACAGAAGTCATCTTGGATGTTCCTCTCCTCTCTTCCAGGAATGATGTGACTCTCCTACCTCCCTTTCCCAACCCTCCAAAATCCCCGCCAACAGATAAGAAGAGGGAAGGAAGAAAAGGGGAAGGAAGGCAGCACAGCAGGTACAGGGCAGATCTGTCAGAAAAAAGCTTTGACTATGCTGCTCAAACTGTTACAAGTGCTGTACCAGCCAAGTCAGGAGAGCTACCTCAGGGCAGAACAGCATCCTACTTCTCCTGTGTACAGCCACCTCTTGCTTTTGATTTTGCCGAAGGAGCCAAGGCACATTTTATAGGCTTGTGAGTTTCCAGCGTCACGAAGGGAGTGGAGTGATAAGCTCCACTGGCTGGTAAGCTAACACCTCTTTCCCTCTGCTCTCCCTCCTCCTTTTATTTCATTCATTGCCAGCAGCAGGCACTTTCAGGAGCTGTGGAGAGCATCACAGGGAAAATGAATTCTCATCTCATTTATGTTGAGAGATTTATTTTATATTGCCTTTCTTTAGGTTTCATTATTGTGCTTCCTTTTTTAAATAGTTTTTTTTGCCCTGTCTTTGCAGAGCTAATCAGCTGGCTTAGTTAAAAAATCCCAGGACTGAAACTGCTTTTTTATTACAGCTCTTTCCAGATGATTTTATTCCAGATGAATTCAGACCTGCCTTTTTTCTGCTGTCTTTTCATTTAGTACAGGCTTTCCTTTAAAGTATTCTGGTACCCGCAGATTTGGAGTAGTGACCTCTTTTAGATAAATAAATACATCCTGCTGCTCTCTAATTTCACTTTTCAGTTTGTAATATGTAATTGATATCAAGAAACATTTATAAAGCCATTTGTATGTTCAGCAGACACTGATTTTTACTGAAAAACTATGTAGCCCTAAACATAATGTCCTTAATTGTGCACAAAATATTAGGGGTTTGTTTTCTTTGTGTCTTTAAAAAAAAGAATTTAGTTCTTTTTACTGATTTGCATTTATTCCACACTTAGTACTGTAGTTATTTTGAGTAAACAGTATTTTTACATGCAGTTATTTCTATACTGGTAGAAAAGGGTAAATGAGGAAATTTAGCACTTGATGTTTTCACATCCAAAATCAGTTTCTTGTTAATATGTTAACAACAGCTGGCATTGGGAATGCATGCTTTGTGCAAGGGTTGATTGCAAGGGACTTCAGCTAACAAACCTTTGTTATTCAATAGGGAGAAAATGTGGTTTAGTGCCGATCTGTTCCAGGTTTCAACAATTTAGAGCTACTACTTGTCATCAGCAGAGATTTCAATTGTATCACAGCAGTGGGAACTATTCAATACCCCTGTCATCAGTGACACATTCAACATTTTTTTTAAACAAAAGCTTCAAACAAAAATCAAATACTCCTGTGTACCATTTCCTCCCTGCTGTATTTACCCAGTGGAAGTAATGTCTGCACTTTAATAGTCAGGTCTTCACTGCAGTTTTAATTTGAATGAGTGTAACTCTGGCTGTTCCTATGTGCTTCTCAGCTCTTACCAGCTGACCTGATCCCAAGCAGTAGCCAACCTCAGGCTTAGAAGCTCTGCTGTAAACCACTCATTGCTACAGCATGTCTAGAACCCACCATGCACTGCAGGTCCTTGTCACAGAAAAGCCACTGGAGTTTATCCCACAGTTCCGTTTTGAGTCCCAAATCTTCTGCCTGCCTCATCTTTCTTCTGCTCCCTGGAGGTGAGCCTGAAGAAGGGAACAGCAGAAAATCTCTGTGAGTTTGAGTGTTGAAAAAATTCTAATGGTGGTTCCAATGAGTGAGGAACACCGGACGGACTAGTTATAGCAGAGGCTTGAACATTCTAGTAGCTTCACTCTCAACTCCAGCAGTTTCACTCAAGATTTTCATATAGCTATAAGCCAGAAAGTACAAACCCAGCCCTGTGCCCTATACCTTTCCACCTTTATGCTCAAACTAGGAATTCCAGACTGTATCCTTTTACTAAGCTGATGTGTTTTTCACATTACCACACCAGCTACCCAAGTCCTTGCGTCCCACATACTTCTGTTGCTTCCATCCAGCTCTCCTATCCTCAGCTCTATTACTTCTTTTCCTCAATTTCAGCAGACACAGGGACCCTGTTTCTTGAATGCGGTACTGCCAAGCGTGCAGCAGACTGCAAACTTATAGGAGCAGTGTACTGTACAGCACTGCAGTAACTTTCTCTGTATAGGAATATAAATATCTATGTTTGAACTACTTGCTCTGTATAGTTCATGGAGTCCTTGTTCTGCTTTCCTCACAGGACCAAATCTTCTTCTAGCTCTGTCTTGGAAAGTTGCTTGCCATTGCCTACCAGATGTTCTGGAGAGACCATTACCATATATCTTTCCCTAATTCTTTACAGTGCCCCCAAGGGAATTTGTTCTCAATGCATTCCTAGTGAGAGAAATCAGTACAAGGCAACATCTCCTTATACCAGCAGATCTATCGGTAAACTGAGTCCTTGAGACTTACTTGAAACAAAAATCAAGAAGCTTTTTGTAGTGTGTGTTTGTAAAATGTGAGCCAGACCACCAACACAGTATGCTAAAGTGTCAGCTTTGCAGTGTAGAAATCAAAGTATCATTGATTCTGTCTTCTTCTTCAGGAGGACCCTGAGGAAATATTCCACCCCTCTAGGGACATTTTATATGCTGTGCTCTTCCCCATCCCCTTTCCCCCACACATGAGAAAGAAACTGTGGGGTACCATCAGCATAAAGGAAAACCTAGGTTTTTCATTAGTCTCTTGCTCAGTAAGCTGGATGTTATCAGCTGTGTTGCAGAAGAAGTGGTTGAGTGTCTGGAGTTGTTTTATTTTGAGAAGTGGAACACTGAACAGCACAGGACAAATGTTTGGTGGCTGGATCAGCCTCCCATGAATAACATTTATTACTCCTTTTGGAAATGCCTGTAAAAATTTGCTAGAATAAATTCTCTGTACTCTGGCTTTCATTCTAACTGAAACCATAGAGAAGTTGTCTGGTATGATCAATTAGAGCCAAACCAGATCTTCCTACATCCAAAATGCTACAGCAACGTTGACCTGCCCTTTAGCACCTTGCTCGCATTTTATTTCAGGAAAGAGGTTAGGCAGCCAGTAGTTGGCTCATGTCTATAGAGGGAACTCACACGGACAGTGAAGTCAGCTGTGCTTCTCCATTAAAATTTGTAATGATTACACATGTGCTGATTGAAGTGTGGTCAGCTGGTGGCCATCAGCATTTGGTTTCTCAAGTAAGTTCCACAGCAACTTTGATGAAAGCATTTGTATTAATAACTTCTGAGTAGCGAAATCTGCCTAACTGGGGTGATACTTCTGCAAAGAGCAGTACAAAGGACAAGGATATGTATTTTTTCTCAGTCTGTCTTGGAAAAAAAGATAGTTGTAGAGGATATCCATGCTGACATTATTTTTAGAACTGTTACAGGTACGTGATTTCCTATCTTAACTTTTGGCCGTTCCAGCTTATGCATATTTGCAGTGGAAATACTTAGTTTTCCTCTCTGTAAGACTACTCAGTTTTAGAGGGACTTCTTTCTGGCCATCTGCTATTTGCTGTTCTCTTTTGCTTTTCCACTGGTCACTACTTTATGCTTGTAGTCAACTGTGGTTAAACTTGCCATTATTACCAGCTCCCCATTCCCAGCTTCACAGAAACACTTAGAAATGTGAAAGAAATAATCTGAAGTGTTATCAGAAAAGTAGCTGTGATTGTCTGTACTTCTTCCTTTGTGTTATATAGTTTGAAGCTATTTTTTCACAGTTCCAGCAAAACTTCTCCTACTGAGCCCAAAGTGAAAGCTAAGCTCTTGACTTAGCATCTTGTCCAGAAGGTAGATTTAGAAATTATTCTGTTCTTTGCTCTTTATGAGATTCTAGAGGTCTTCTGGTGTACTTGAAGTTTTTGTCTGAAATCACTCTACTAAATTTTTCTGTGTGCTATGGGAGAGACAGAGAATATCAGCAGAATTACACAAGTAGGGATTTGAAGTAAAATAGCAGCCTGCATAGCATATCTATTTAGCATAAGCGCTAACTGCATCATTAAGGTGTTTCACAAGACCTGTCCTCTTTCTTTTATATATAGCAGTGAGGGCATTGCGAAGTTTACTTTTTGGTTTTGGGTTTGCTTGCTTGATTAGGCTTAGCCTAATAACCTCATTCCCTGCCTCCTTCCTCCAGTGCCCAGCGGGATGAAATGATCCTTCAGCAGCAGCTTTTTTTATTCTTCAGCTTTGATAGCTCCCTTTCATCAGTCAGTCATGAAAAGGTTTAGCTGTGGCAGGAGAATTTTTGCAATTTAAGAATGCTAAACGCTGTCCTATTTATCATGGCTCTGTGTTCACATTGCGCTGCTGTCATGACCATGTCAGCCTACCTGGATTTGGAACAGTTTGCTTTAATTGATGTAGTTTAAAACACACCTGGAAAACTCAGTTTGAACTTGGTTTCTGATTATTTTTTATAAATGCAAAAGTCTTCTTTCTGGCACCAATTGAAAATGACTCAGTAGGATATTTAGCAACTTCACAAGCGTGCGAGTAGGGATGTTGCAGCAAAGGGCTAGACCAAAACTGGAAGTATTGTATGTTGCTCTTCATCATGGCTAGAGGGGGGCCAGAAATGTGGGGGCAATAGAGCCAAAGAACTGAGTAGACACAAGTTTTTTCTGGATTGTGATGCTGAGGTGCAAATTCACTGAAACCGTTTTTAGAATAAAGTAAAACTCAACACGTCTAGAGATGAGTGATGAGAAATTAATTCTAAATAAAAATGAAGACTATTCTGAATTATAGATAATATTCACAAGTTACTTTGTATGAGAAAACATTTATTCTTCTTTGGTGAAGAAAGAACCCGCAAGATTTCTTCAGCCATTGTGAGTTTGATCTTCTGATACTCCTAAAAGGCTAAATATATGTGTTTGCCTTTGTCATCAGCATAGCTTAGCCCTCTGTTTTTTAGCTGTTGCTCACAGGACTTGACTGAAGCTGCTGAATAGCAGTAACAGTGAGGTGCCTGTGCCAAAATATAATTTGCAGGGCACAGTTGTTCTGTGAAAAGTAATTCTTATTAATTTATTTTCCTGATCAGATAGGGCTTTGAGAGGAAAAGATATTATACCGAATGACATACTAGCAATTTTTTGGAAAAAATTAAGTGGATTGATTCAAGTGGTTCTTCTACCCGCCAGCAGTGTATCTGGAGAGAAGGTAAAGGCAGAGTGAAATGGGCCATGATATAACAAACATTCTCTTGGGCTATCGTGATTAGTCTTCTTTCTTGCTATTGTTGTTTACCTTTTTACATTCT